GGGTGCGTGCGGCGTCGCGGTAAAGCTCATAGGTGATGTAGTTGCTGGCGGCGCTGCGCATGCGCCGCACGGTGCCGGCGGCGTTGCTGCCGTTGGACAGCCCCAGCCGCCAGTTGGTGCCGGTAGGGCAGCGCACGATGATGGTCGAGGTCTGGTCGCGGTTGGCGAACAGCGCGCCCACGGTGCCGAAGTCAAGATCTGTCGACAGCGTGATGCGGCATGAGTTGGACACCGTGGCCGCGGCCGAGGTGTAGAAGGTGGTGTTGCCCTTGCCGCCACCCGTGCCGGCCGTCATGCAGTTGGGCGGGTAGGCGCCGTTGCTCCATGACCAGTACAGCGCCGAGCCGCCCAGCTGGGTCTGGAAGCCGTTGGTGGCGGGCAGGTTCTGGCCCGCCGGCACACGACCGTAGATGGGCACGGTGTTGGTCTGCTGCACATAGCCGCCGGGGATCAACACCGGCAGGCTGACGACAGGGTAGCCGCCGCCGGCAGGTGGCGGGCCGATGATCTGGGTGCGGGCGGCGTCAGAGTAAAGGTCGTATTCCATCTGCGCGCCGTTGTAATTGGTCATGTAGCGCGGGCTGATGCCGGGAATCGGCGAGCCCTGGGCAATGAACATGCAGACGCGGTAATACGTGGGGTTGGCATTGGACTGGCAGACAAAGGGAATGCTGTTTTGCGTGTCGGTCTGGTCGTCGGGGCTGACGGTGCCGAAGGCCAGGCTGCCGGTGGCCGACATGTAACAACCCTGTGCCGCAGCGGTACCCGGCGTTGCCAGACCCGCGAACGCGAGCAGCAGCATGGCAGCGACGATGCAAAAGCGGCGGTGGGCGAGGTGAAGGCGTCGGGTCATGGCTGGTTTACGGATTTGCGGGGTTACTGGCAGGTCAGAACGCCCAGGTCCACCAGGCCACTGGGCTGGTCGGGCAGGGCAAGAGTCGTGCGGCAGGTGCCAGTGGCCGTCTCTACATCAAGCACCGCGCCGCGCGCTGGGTCTTCAAGATAGACAAGGCCATCGTAGCCCACCACGGTGGTAGCAGAATTGGCACCAGCACCGGCTGCGGGCGGCTTGCCGGATGCACTGATGGTGACGACGCTGCCCAGCGACAGCGGCTCGCCCGCGGCATTTTTCAGGATCAGCTGCACGGCCAGGATGCGGCGCATTTCAAACTTTGCAGCCACGCCGCTGCGACCAGCTGGTACGGCGTCAAGGCTGGTGCGGTTGATATGCATGTCGGGCGGCAGCTTGAGCGTGTCTATGCTGATGCGGTTGTGCTGGTAAGCGTTGAGGCGGCTGACAAACAGCAGGCCGTCCTCGTCGGTTTCGCCGACCAGGCGGTTCTCAAGCCGCACCGGTATGCCGGCCATGCCGTTGGTCGATACCACGGCAAAACCATCATCGACACGGCGCGTGGGCTGCACCTTGCCCTGCATCATGACCACGCTGCCGCTGGCGTTGCCGAACAGCGAGGTGCTCGATGGCGCGCCCTGCCCACCGCGGAAATGGCTGACACCGCCAGAGAACTGGCCGTAAGACGTGGTGCGGCTCAACTGGCCCTGGCCGCTGCTGAGGCCATTGGCCGCATTGCCGGCGTTGCCATAGTCAGCATTGGCCTGCACGCGCCAGCCCCAGCCGTCTTCGTCCGATGGAGCAGAGCGCGCCGCATCAAGTGTGAGGCCGCTCGCGTCGCGCGTCCTGCGTGCGCTGGCCGACACCGAGGTGTCTCTATCCAGCAGAACAGACCAGCCGACATAGAGCTGCGGCCCGCCCGGCTCACCAAAGCTGCGATTCAAATTGACCGTGAGCGAGCCGTAGCGCTCAAGCTGCTTCGACCAGCTCAGGCTGGCAAAACGCGTGACCGGTGAGCCGGTGTATTGCTGGCGCAGCAGCGCAAAACCAAACTGGCCCAGGCTGGTGTCAAAGCCCACATAGGCCGAGTCGCTGAGCCGGGTGACGGGCGCGCCGTTCAGGCTGGCGATGTCGCGGTAACGCGCATCAGCCCTGAGCGAATTGACGGAGGCGTTGAAGTAACGCGCAATCCACTGGTAGCCGAGGCTGGCCTGAGCGCCTGAGCTGCTTGCCCCGCCCGCCCCACCCGCGTAATGGCTGCCTGACAGCGACGCAGTGACCACTCCGCCCTGCCCGGCCAGCAGCCAGGCCACTCCGCCACCGGCAAGCTGCAGACCGCGCGTCGCCTCCGCATGGCCTTCGAGCGTGAGGCGGTCGGTGTAGCCGTGGCGGGCACTGGCGCTGAGAACGGGCTCATTGCCGTATGAAAACGATTTGAGCGCGTAGTCCTGGCGTATCACGCCGGCGTCGAGAGACCAGTCCGACAGGCCCGCTGCCAGCAACTGCGGCGAGCCGTAAATATCAAAACTCACCAACCTGCTCTGGCCATTGATGTCGGTGATCACCATCTGCGCCTGGCCCCTGCCATTGAGCGAAGGCGCACTGTTCAACTGAAACTGCCCGGGCTGCACCTGCTGGGTGGACTGCTTCATGCCGTTGATAAACAGATCCACGGTTGACGGCAGTACCGCACTGCCCTGGAAGGCGGCCAGCGGCGCGGTGACGCGGTAGGGCTGCAAGCCAAAATTGCTGGCCAGCCGCACGCCGCCTATGCGCAGCGCACGCGACCAGCCGAGCGCGCCGGTGATGGTGTCGCCCACCGTAAGGGTGGTCAGCTCATCGGGAAAATCGCGCTGCCACGAGGTGTCGAGCCGCACGTTGCGGCCCTGTGTGTTGCCAGCGCCCACACCAACACGCGTGGCCATGGTGTTGCTGAAGATGCCGGGGCCGATGCCAAAAACCCGCGCTTCGCTCACGCCGTTCAATGCGCCCTGCCCCGCCGACTGCTGCGCGTACAGGTCGTAATTGAGCAGGACGCCGGGCACACGCGCAGAAGGGTCCACGCGCGGCCGGTCTGCCAGCGAGGCATCAATTTTCAGCAGTGGCCTGTCCAGCAGCGCGATAGGCGCGGTCAGGGTGATGCGCTGGCGCGGCTCGTCGTAGTTCACCTGCAGGCCCGCAAGGCTTGCCAGTGCGATCTGGCCGGCCTGGCTTGAGGCTGTATCGCTGCCCGGCCATTTCAGGCCGAGTTCACGCAGGGTGGCGGCGGAGGCAAAGAGTGCACCGCGCTGCATCATGAAGGGCTTGATCTCCTCAATGGGCACCCCATTGAGGGTGACCGCGAGGTAGAGCTCAAGCGGCTGCGTGCTGGCTTGCGCGGGAGCCCCGGCTGCAGCGGTGTCCGGTATCGAAGAGGGTACGACCTGTGCGCCGGCACTTCCCAGCGCCGAGGCCAGCGTCACACTAAGGGCGATCAGTGAGGGGCAGTGTCTGCTCTTCTTGATCGTCATTGAACTTTGCCTTGAAGGCACCGCCGGACTTCAGCGCCGGCAGGGGCAAGGGCAGCGGCCACTGCATGGTCTGGCCAGCCAGCACATAACCCATCAGGCCCGGGAAAAGAATGTTGCGTTGCCCACGCGCATCCACATAAGCGAGCTGGCTGATTTTGGCGCGGCGCGCACCGTTGTTGGCAATGACCAGCGTCGATGCATCCGGGCCGCTGGCCTTGACGCTGGCCGCGAGGCGGGTCACATCTGCCAGTGGCATGGCGCCGTTGGCCGCTGATGCAGGAGCCAGGGCCGCACTGCCTGCAGCCGCAGACGGCAATACAAACACCGGCACCGAATAGCGCAGCAAGAATTGCAGGCCGGCCGCAGCCGATGGTTGCGCAGCATCAGTGCCGGGCAGCTCGTCGATGATGAGGCGGTAGGTTTTTTCCTGCGCGGCAGGCGCCGGTTGCAGGCGCACGATGCGCACCATCTGGCGTGCGCCGGGCGCGATCTCGACAATGGGCGGGCTGGCGACGATCTCACGCGTGGCGTCGAGCTTCTCGGTGCCGCCGGATTGTGTCCACGCCTGCACACGGACCTGCGCGCGCAGCGTGGTCTTGCCGCTGTTGCTGAGGAACATGGCCTGGCTTTGCTCCTGCGCAGGAATGTCCAGCGAAATCGGCGTGACCTGCAGCCCGGCTGCCGATGCCGGAGCGGCGGCAAACATCACCACAGCACCCAGCGCAGCACAAGCCAGCTTAAAAAAGGAAACGCCGCCCGGAAGGCGGCGTATTTGGAGCCGCATGGATCAGTAAGTAACAGTGGCGATCACGGTGTCAGTATAGGCACCTGCGACACCGGCAGCGCTCGGCACGCGGCCATACACCGTCAGCGTCTGGTTGGCACCGGTGCCCGTGCCGGCTTGCGTCGTACCTGCAGTCGTACCCCAGGCATTGGCAAACGCGGCATCACGGAACAGGCCGTAGCCGATGAAGTTGGTCGTACCGTTTTTCATCTGGCGCGTGGTGGTGTAAGTTCAGGCCGTTGCCCAGACCGAATCGTGTACGGCGTGCCAGTGGTGCACTTGACGGTCAGCACGCCGCCGGTCGAGGCGACGTTGGCAGCGGTCGATGCGACGGAGCCAAAGTCAACGTCGGTAGGCGCCACAGTGTGGATGTCGCAGGTAGACGTGACGGTGATCTTCACGGTCATGTTGGCGGTGTCGGTGGCGGCAGTTGCGGCACCGAAGGCGCCCAGGCAGGCAGCGGAGATGATGGAAGCGCGGAAGATTTTGTTCATGATGATCCTGAGATGGTTGTGATGATTCGCTGGGTTCGATGGTGCGAAAGATCAATACGTGACGGTGGCGATGACGGTGTCTGTGTAGGCGCCTGCAGCCGAAGCAGCAGATGGCACGCGGCCGTAAACGGTGAAGTTCTGGTTCGCGCCGTTGCCCGTGCCGGCAGCCGACAGCGGAACAGTCGAGCCCCAGGCGTTGGAGAAGGCCGCATCGCGGAACAGGCCGTAACCCACAAAGTTGGCGGTGCCGTTTTTCATCTGGCGCGTGGTGCTGAAGTTCAGGCCGTTGTCCAGACCAATCGTGTACGGCGTGCCAGTGGTGCACTTGACGGTCAGCACGCCGCCGGTCGCAGCGACGTTGGTGGCGGTGGATGC